GGGGTGGAGTATGGAGTACAGTTTGCCTATTCTGAGTAATTCAGTCAGGTCTTGACACTGAGGGGTGGTATCACTTCTCACTGCCGCGCAGGACAGAGGTTTATACACAAATAAATACATCATATTCATTGACAGTATATATAGATCAGATTCATGTGGGTAATGTCACTGTCGAGAGAGAGAGAAGTGGGAGAGAAAAAGAGGGCAGAAGGGAGATATACCCCGGACCAGTTCCCACTTTTATTACATTCCAGTTGCTTATTAATGCACCAGAGGCTGACACACCTGAGTCCCGGCAATAACCTTGTCCCTCTCCTTCCATTTCTTCCTCTTCATTTTCCCTCCCTCTTCATCCTCCTTTCCCCCTCCTCCCTTTTATCTCTCTCCTTCTTTCCCCCTTCTCCTCCTCCCCATAGCTGTAACATAGGAGGTTATTCCCAAGGACGGTGATGGGGCGGGGGTACACCTATTACCCCCCCCACCTTTCATTATTATCCAAATGGCAGACTGTTGAATGTGTTTGGAATGACGATGAGGAATGTTTTGTATTTGGTGGTGGTGATTAAGTGTCATTGAGCTGTGTTAATTACTTATTGTTTTGTGTAATGATGATGAAAGGAAGAATATCTCTCTCTGCTAGTTTCCAATCCTTTTTTCTTTCTTAACCATTTTAGTCTTCAACTCTAATATTCTCCTCTTTCTTTCTTGACCCAGAGCCCATCTTCATTCCCCCCCTAAATCTCTCCTTCCTCCTTCAGTCCAGGGTTCACCGCATCTAACCACAGTTTAACCTGATTAGCTGTTTGGATCCAATAGACTTCCCTCAGTGGCAGCAGTTAGTGTAAGTTAAGAGGTAGCCGGGCAGCAGGAAGAGAGGGGGAGTTAATATAGTTAAGACTGGCCATTAACTCTGCCGATCACATTCCGTTAACTTGGTTTTAGGAGCTGTGTTAACTCCCCCCTCCCCGCTTTCTCCCTTATCCTTCCCTTCAAGGTAATGAGTGACCTGTAGTTGACCTGGTGAGATACCCATATGTGACCTCTTCTACCACCACACACTCACTCGGGGGTTAAACACAGAACACACACACACACTCTCTCTCTATGTATTTAGTCTTAGCTCTCTCACAATTTAATCCCATGACAAACAAGGTGCCATCCACTCCACCCTGCACCATTACTTTCACCTGCACCATTCACGAGAGTGGAATTTTATGAGTGGATTAGTTGGCCCCTCTGTATAATTTACTTGACTGCCATATTGTTTTATCTCTCATATATACATCCAAACATCTTTTCTTCCTCTTTCTCCCTCTCTCCATTTCTTTATTTTCCCTTGATCGTTCAGCACAGCCTCACTTAATCCATTCTTATCTTGAATTAATCTACATTTCGTTCATGTAATGTCTCCCTTGCCAAGTTACCCTACGAGGTGTTCCCACGGGTAGGTAATCACTCCTTTATTGCAACACACACCTCGGCAGGCTCTAGTTTCATGAATTAATCTTGAATAGAAGCGGTCACTAATGGATCTGTCGCACACCTCCATTTTGTAGTGGGAAAATATCAACTTGACGGGCAGCGCCTTTTGGATGTTTGAGGTAGTGTGTTTCCTCTTTGGGTCCTTGAGAGTTAGGTTAACGCCGTCTTAGAGAGACTTGGATTATCAACATGACCGTGAGCTGTGTTAGTGTGACAGTGGATTTGTTAGGATAGAGCATCTTACTGTCACTCGTTGACTTTCGTCGTCCTTGAACTAAAGTTTGAAGGTTACCGAAAATTACCTGAAAGTTCTGAAGTGTGGCGCAATTCTTCTGACCATACTTGTTAAACTTCTTGAAAGAAATGATTTTATTATTCAAGAAAATGTTGTAAGAAAATAAAGAAAACTAAGATGGACACCCAAGATAAGTTCATAAGTGTTCATGAACTACATCACTCTCCCCCCTCAAGTCCTGGTGCAGCCACAGTCCACCAGGTCACTTAAACCATTGCACAAGCTGCCCGTGAAGAGCTCTTGGGGAACTTGTGCCTATGACCCAAACACGCTTGACACACATCACATAAGCGGATGGATGGACAGGCAACGAGAAGCTGTTTCAACAGATTTAAGGTTTCAGATTCACTTCGCACAGGGATCAGATTTATCAAACATTGCACGATTCTATATTTCCTCCATCTGGGTATAAAACATTCCATGTAGCTGCTATAATCACAATATAATTTCTGTGTCGTTTTTGTCGTACAAAGCTAATCCCCTGAACCAGAACGTAGGTTTTATGCAAAAACCGCGGATGTGTTTACATTAAATTATGTTGGTAGATCAGTATAGGTTCTGAGCCAGGGTGTGGGTATTAATGGTTAATACTTTGAACCAATAATACTGTTATTTAATACATGACACTTTGCAATTCTCAGTAGAGCATCAGTGAGGTGACCTTTGTGAATTACTTTTGTTGTTTGTACGTAAACCAAAAGACTTGGTCTTCCATGGTGCCACGGTGGTTATAACCAGTGTCCCAGCTGTTGGTAACTTAAGCACATCATCCACAGCTGTTGATGATGATTAACAAATTATCACACAGTTCTTGGTAATTTACAGATTATCGTACAACTGATGGTACACAATTTATCACCCAGCTGTTAATATTGAACACAGAGATAAATCCTTTCCAGCTGGATTATGTAGAGTAGAGTAACACAATAGCAATAATATTACCTGATCTGCATATTGTCCATCTTGGGTAACTGTGTGGGATATATTGTAGTTCTTAGGTACTTATGATAATTGTGTTCGGGGATGTTATTGTTAGTGTCCACGACTCAAAGGTGATGCCAGCTGGTGTGTTCTCGTCTGTGTGTGTGTGAAGGGGAGTGGATTGAGTTAGCTGGAGGTTAATGTTGTTTTGGTTAAGTTAAGTTGAGTTTGGTTAGGTTGTGGTGGACTGGGATGGGTTTTGTGTGTGTGTGTTTAGGGTGGAGCAGAGAGGGAGGGAGGGAGATTGGGTGAACGAGGTCAATTCTCCGCTTCCTTTCTCCTCTTGCAGAGTGGATTACTGCTAATGTGAGGCTGGTGGCGGTGGGTTTAATTGTTGATTGTGGTGATGTTTGTGGTGTTTTATGGTAGTAGTGTTTGTGATGGTGGTGATGAATTGATGATGCTGATGGTGATGAAGTTGTTTAGGCAGCACAAGGGATTTGGGCAGAGCCGACGTGTGTGGGTGTGTAAAAGAGACACACAGATATTGAGAGGGATATACAGGTAGGTGAAGCTGCTACGTCATATATAATTGATAGAGGGGGGGGGGGATAATTATTATTGACGGGAGATAAACACCAGGAAATAAGGTGGTTCACTAACAGGTTCAAGTTTGTTGATAATGGGGGCCAATACCCGCTGTAGACAGGCATCCTCGCGACAAGGAGTTGCTCCAAAGTTGTAAACAAATATTGGTATTCATCTGGAGTTTAACATGTTTTACTGGCACCTCACCAATGTTTACCCAGAAAGCCTTCAAAATGATGGCTGTGATGTCTGGTATTGGCAGCTGGGTAAACTAAATCTTCCTATATTACTATAAATCTGCGAATGAAGCTCAAATCGTTGGTTCAGTATGTTTGTCTGTCTCCGTCGTAGGTTCACTTGTGGGAGTGAGTCAGCCACCAATTTAGTTTGTGTTTCATTGATTTTTTTATGGGTGAAGGGCCTGCCTACCAGTGTGTGTTGTCGCCCACTCACCTGCCTTGGAGGTGACTGTATTTGACCTTAATGATGAGCTGGAAAATAGTAGCGAAACCCACCTATCCGTCCATTCACTTGTTTGTCCGTCCATCCATCTGACCATTCATTCATCCATCCATCCATTTAGCCTAACTATTGATGCAATTCATCTGTTGTACCATCAGTTTCCTAATTTGGGAAGGATCTGATACAAACACACATTGGTAGAGAAGTCAATAACACAGGTAGGTGATGTGGTGGTGATGCAGAACAGTTTTAGGAAATGCTGTATCAAAGGGTCTTGGTCCTGGAGTGTAATTACTTTCACCAGTGGTCAAATAGGCTCCAACCTGACCAAAATGTTCGGACTGGGACTTGTTGGCCACATCACTTCTTGTTTTACTTCTGGAATGTAACTTCAGTATTCATGAACCGAGTTGATGAAAGTTAAACAGCTTTTATTTAATGTAAAGAACACAGGAAGTTATCATCAGTGAAATGGTAGGTAGTGCAATGATCAGTAAATTTGTGTTGGTGTGTTTGAGGTTGTGTTTATCAGTTCATTAAGCTTTTGAGAAATGATGAGAGGTGAATACAGCTCCTCCCCGACCTACGACCACCTGCACTTATGACCTGCCTCAGTCGTACCAAATTTTGTCAAATTACGTATTTTCGAGTCCCAACGTCAGTACACAGACAAAATTTTCGTTTGTAATTCACTTTAAAATGGCTGGAAAGCTTAAAAATGAGAGTTTTGTGGTGCTGAGAAGAAAAAGAGACACCCATTTTAGATTTTCTATGTATTATTTAAGCATTTTCGACTTACAACCTGGATTTGGGTCCTTAACCCCGTCGTAAGTCGGGGAGGAGCTGTAGTACTGTGACACTGGCAGTTGGAAGATATGGAGCAAAAGTGGACAACAAAATCTATTATATTATATAGTGTGGAAAAGTTAGTAAAAACTCAGATATATTACATACTGTACTTAAGTAGATGAGATGTTGCAGGTAAGTGTTTTCAGACATTGTTGGAAATAATTCTTTGTTGTCAGATAGCACAGGAGCTAGGATTATGTTGCTGAGTGAGAGTGGGAAGGCTTTCATGAGCACTTGAAAACCATCCTGAGCAGATAATAAATATCTATATTTATCTGTATTTATGTACATAATTTTTAATAAAGTTAATGTTTTTCTATATATAGTACTGTATATGACGAGCTGGATGTCACAGAAAGTACTGTAGTGTGTCACAAGACAGTAACGATTGATTGTGTTGCAGGTGTGGCTGATGGCGTGGGCGGTTGGCGGGCATGGGGGATCGACCCTGGAGAGTTCTCTCACTCACTGATGCGTGTGAGTGAACGTGTTGTAAGGAGTGGAAGGTTCGCGCCCTCAGAACCTGCTGCTATCATTGCCAGGGCCTACTATGAACTCCTCGAAAACAAAACGCACATCTTAGGTCAGTGCCTATAGCTGGTTTATTATTCAATAGACACCAACCAATGAACTCTATACAGTACAGTATTAATTTGTTTATAGTGAGATAGAGGAAAGAAAAAAGAATAGAGAGTAATAGTGGTGGAGATGTCAACACCAGAAAGTGGTTTTTCTATTTCATTAATTTTTTCCACAAATGTTGTTTGTATGATAAAAGTACTGTAATAAAAACGATAAAATAACCCTTTCTTTTAATTCTAAATACTGTACAGTACAGGTGTTTTTTATTATTATTTTTTTCATCATAATCTATGACATGAAAGAGGAGTGGAAATTACAGGGTAAAACCTAAAAAAAAAATATATAATAATAATAAAAAGATCCCATGGCAGTAATAAACCCTCTCTAAGTGTTTTGTAAGTGAAGAAATAAATTATTTACCGTAAATATTCAGCTGATATTTCTGATTGGTCAAAGCAGAGCATGTGAAGTTCACGTGAGACAGATTTGAATATAATACTGTTTGTGTTTAGCGAATTTAAAATGTCAATATTGTTGTGAATATTAAGAAATGAAAACATAAAACAAAAGCTACTCAGATGTGTAAATCTTGTAGTGCAGCACTGTTCTGTTCAGGATGTCTCAAATCCTTGCTATTATGTCATAACTAAACTGTTCTTTGCCTCATTACTACTGTTACTTATATTATTGTGTGATTATTAATGGTAAAAACTGAATATTAATAAAAACTGAATATGTATGACAGGCAGTAGTACGGCGTGTGTGGTGGTACTTCAAGGTGATGTGGGGCAACTGTATTCAGCAAACATCGGCGACTCTGGGTTCCTGGTGCTGCGTAATGGATCAGTGGTGCACCGATCACAAGAGCAACAACACTACTTCAACACACCTTTCCAGCTCTCCCTCCCTCCTCCTGGCACTAATGCCCAGGTCCTCAGTGACAGGTGAGGCTGATATAGAATCAGGTTTAAAAAGATTGTGGATTACTGGAGAAGCAAGTAAAAGTTGTAAAATTTCTTAAGGAATGTAAAGTACCGGAATGTAATATATATATGTATATATATATATATATATATATATATATATATATATATATATATATATATATATATATATATATATATATATATATATATATATATATATATATATATATATATATATATATATATATATATATATATATATATATATATATATATATATATATATATATATATATATATATATATATATATATATATATATATATATATATATATATATATATATATATATATATATTTATTTCATGTAGATCCACAATGAAAACGTGGATAAGATATATCTTGATAAAATCACACGGGAAAGGGGAAACAACGGAGCACCTTAGCTTTTGCCTGTATTCAAGACATCTTCAGAGGCAACTGAGTTGCCTCTGAAGATGTCTTGAATAAATTATAAATGGAACATTGATCTTGAATTCCTACTATATTTCTTAACTAAGATTGCAACCAAGTAGATCAGATACCCTCTCACCTGGGTAGTCAGGCAGAAAATAAATCCAAAATGTTGGGATTGGCTCTAAAAACAAAATAGGTTCCATAGCTGGCTGGTATAAAATGTGAACTGGCTAGGTAGACATAGTTCACTTTTAAACTTCCTGTCTTTTGTGAGCAACTTCTGGTAATTCACCCTTTTAATTAAGGGAGGTAAGTACTGTAAATGTGTTTGGAAGGAATGAGTGATTGTAAATTAAGTTGGTACAATACAGTAGTTAGGGTCTGCTGCCCTAGACTTCCAAAATTGTTTTCTGTATTAACAGGAGTCACCTGTGGTTATGGGCTTAAAGTGTAGGATTTTCAGGATAAAATATTCATGTTATTTTCTTAATATTGTGCAGTACAATATTTGTTTATAGAACCAATGGTTTATATAATAATGTACTGAAATTGTTATCAGAGAAAGTAAAGAACTTTGTGTACTTAAGAACTTTATAGCACAGTACAGTACTGTATAGAGCTTCATATATTTAAGGCAGTTTTATTTTTCAGACCTGAGAGTGCTGATACTTTAGAGTTCCTAGTAAAGGAAGGAGACATGTTAATAGTGGCCACTGATGGTGTATTTGATAATCTTCCTGACTCCATGATTATCAAAGAGATGGTTAAAGTTCAGGGTTCTACTGATTTATTATTACTGCAACAGGCAGCCAATTCTATTGCACAGCAAGCGCGAAAATTAGCATTTGATGAGGATTACATGTCGCCATTTGCTCGTAATGCACGAGAAAATGGTATCAATGCAATAGGTATGTATTTTTTATGTTAAGGTACTTCTTTGCTCAATTTTAGGCATAAATTCAAATTTCTTTTATATAGTAACATGGCAGTTCTAGTAAACTTCTCGCAGTCACAATAAGTCATACCTTTGTTATCACTTGTATTTTTTATGAAATCACAGCAATAACAGTACAGTACTGTACAGTACCTGTACTTCCTGTGATACAGAATTATTACCCTGTCTGTCTGTCTATCTCTCACTCAATCTGATTTTCCATCCTTCACACTTTATTTTGGTTCTGATACAATACGTGTATCTTGTTAAAGAGATAAATCTCAAACAGAGTTGGTGCAGAAGCTTATTATTGCTCAAGGAAGATACCTACTGTACATTACTAAGTTCTAGGTGTAGTATTTGTTTTTGTGCAAATGTATCTTTTGACTTGGTGGCTGGATCCCAACCAAACTAAATTTCTAGACTTTTGTAATTCAAGCTGTTGATTTTAACAGGTAAAATCACTATAAAAAGTGTCCAATGAGTTATATTATCCAAATAGCTTTGAATGTTTGTTTCCTCTAACACAACTCTGTGTGGGAACATAGTGTGTCTCAGATTTTGTAGACACAATCAAAAAAGTATGTGCACATTTCACACGAAACGCTCTGACACCACAGACGATGGATATTGCAAAATGCTTTTATCGCTTGCTACCGACGTTTCCCGTTTTATCCATAGTAAGTACTGATTTGTTATTATATGCACATTCAAAAGAAAATAATTACTATTACAAACAGAGTGTAGCATGGTACATGTTGGTGGCTATGTTGCGGCATAGGTTTACTCAGAGGTGTGCTGGGACTGGTTCGGTCCGGTTCGCCCGAACCGGTTATTAAATTTCGATTGGATCACCGAACAGTTTGTTGCTTTTTATGAAATATTTAACAGTCGGTAGAAATTTGTCTTGAAATTTACAAACAAAACCTTATTTTCTTTCCCATAGGTATTACTACTACATGTCACACAAATTAGAGCAAGTTTATATTGATGTATCAGATAGTCACTAAGACAATAACCTAACAGTTTTTTTTCACAAGAACCTTACATTTTCAATACAACCACTGAAATATGGCATTATTATTTTCCATATTTAGTTTCTCCAGGAAAATTCCTCAGTACATTCTGGAACTATTCACTCGTAAGGACTACTTTGTGTACCATCAAGTTCACCAACTCTTCCCCACCCACTGACTGTAACAGACTTGTTCACAAAATATATATCATTGCCATCGAATCAGACCCCAGACACCCCCAGCCTAATGGTTCACACCATTGGCATTCACCGATTTACACCACTATCTGAATCAGAACTGGTTGTTAAAAAATTGGCAGCACACCCCGGGATGTACAGTACACCCACCTCTCGTTTTATGTGGGGGTTAGGTTCTTGAAAATCACCGCTTAATTAAAAAATGCGCATTTTTCCCATGAGAATACATGTAAATGGTACAGGTTAGGGGAGCAAGTTAGGGAAACCATCATATACCGTACAGGGTAACTCACAATAAATATTCTTTTACCTTACTCATTCATAAAGAAAAACAATAGTAAATACATCTTAAGTAACACTTATATTGACAACTGGTGACTTCTGCTTGACAAAGGTAGGGTAGGGGAGGGTTGAGGAGGGAGGCTACCGAGGCGAGGGTATGGGTGAGTCGTCGGTGGTTGAGGTAATGGTAGGCTGTGGTCTGGAGATGCCAGATGTCGATGGCTGAGGTGCGTTCCTGTCAGTTTTCTTGTAATATGAGAGCAATGACTTTTGGACGGGTTTCTTTTCTCGCATTGTTTCCAATGGTACGAACAGTGCTCTCACTTATACCAAGCACGCGGCCCACATCCGACACACGCTCTCCACTCTGAAGGTGAGTGATCACATCTAACTTGACATCCATTGCAATTGTTTTTCTTGGCTTTTTATATTTAGGCTCACCAGAGGAGGCAGATGGACGTTTTCCAGACATGCTCGATGGGGGAAAACAGCGTTTAACACTAAAAGATGCGTGATAAACACACAAACAAGTAGTGCTGAAATGAACTGAGAAAGCGGGATGCGGGAAGCTTGATGTAAACACTAAACAGCTGGACGTCTTCAGTTGTTGTACAGAACTGTATATTTGTACTTCATTATCATCATTATCTTCATCATCATTAATAGTAATAATCTTTATTACATTTATTATAATAATGATTATTATTATTAATAATAAAATCGTTGATGTTGATATGACTGTGACTTTACAGTAATACTAACAAGCACCTCACCAGCCATCACATGCGGCTCTGCTGCCAGGCGAATACGCGGCAAATTTAAATCGAGTTATTCCAAAAACGCGTAAATCAAATGCGTGTGAAACGAGAGGTGGATTTACTGTATTGATCATTTAGGAAATCATTGGACCCAATGTACTGTACACAGACACTTTTTTTATCGTGTGTACTGTATAGCCTATTTTTCACATCTCCTGTAATTTTATATAAATGAAATTGTCAAGCAGTTTTGTAAAATAGGATTTCCTACAAATTCTCGCAGGAAATGTTACAAGTTAAACCTTAAAACATTTAAAAGGGTGTAATTGAAATGATTGGATGAGATCCTGTCCTCACCAGTATGATGTGATTTAGGAAAACATTAGGAACATTATATACAGATACTGTTAGATGATTTTATAGACCCTTCCATAACATTACTTATGGTACATTAATTGTTTTCATAATACATACTATGTTGTTTTCAGGTGGGAAACCAGATGACATAACAGTGGTCTTGGCGACCATAACAGTGTAAACTCAGTGGGGCCCTGGGAACCTGAAATTAGAAGTTAGTGCAGCATCCAGAGAAGCGTGTAAACTCCACCACCTTTGTTAATAGCATCATCATGATATGCATTTTTATTTAATACCATATAGTTTTTCATTATTTCATGTGTATTGAATGTGAGGTAAAATCGTTTTTCTAATTGGGGAGTTCCCCATGTGAGTGAAGCATTGAAGATTAGGCTGGAAATGTATTTGTATCTCAAATTCTAGAAAGATATGCTTCCCATTGGCTGTAAAATTAACCTGTATATGTTGTTGTAATTGTACAAGAAGCAATGACCCTCAAATACTACTTATTTTTTAAAAGAGTCATATATTATGTTTTATAATGTTTGTGTGTTAATGTCTGGTTTTCAGTACTGTACTCATGCTAATGGTTGTTATAAAACACCTGAAAGTTGTAATGTATTATAGTCATATTTTAATGTACGATTACATTAATTAATGAGGTTGAATAGGACTGTTGTAAAGCTTTCAGTGTCACTGAATTTATGTAAATAAGTGTCAACTTAGGTGATGCTTTGTACAGTAAAGAGTGGATTAAGGTTATAGCAGAAATTTGAAGCAAACTGATTTATAAAAATAATATTCCAATTTCTGTTCTTTCCTCAATCTTACATACAAAAGACAGTCACGTCAATTAAGTTACTAAAAATATACTTAGCTAATTGGCAGTCTAGCTACTCAACACAGTGTGGGTGATATATCACTTACCTTGCATACAAAGTTTTCTGAATATGTAAGTTTACCTACAAAAGATTATTTTTGCTTTTTCATGGAGATTTAAAGCAAAGTATAAGCATGAGACCAGAAAAAATTATGTATGCTGAGCATATGGTTATTGTGAGTGTAATGGATGACTTGAATATGTCTACGGAATATCACCTCATTCTTTTGGATTAATACTCCTCACATTCCATACCCTTGTTCCTAGCATTTTACTTTCAATGTTCATATTGTTCTAGGGTATGGAATGCCATTTAAATTGTACAAAAGTTTACAACCACTTGAGCTGCTATGTACAGTTTTACGAATGGACGGGTGTAAGACGTCCTTCCGTGGGTTAAGTAATTTCTTCTTTTCTCACATGATTCTTATTGGTAGTATGGTACAACACTGTGACATGGTTTTCACAATTTTAAGTTTCTAGGATGTTAGTAATGATACCTGTATATAGCTTGATTTTGTCATTACTCATTTCCTGGTCATATAACTTTCTAAACTGTGATATATCCATAATTTGGAGACTAACAAAAGATTTGATGAGAATTCTACCCAACTGTTATCTTTACTTCTCTTCAACTTTAGTGTGGGATAGATCATGTGGTACACAAACTTTAAGAAAGGGAAGTAAGAGTGGAGAATGGTGCAAGATGATGAGTGTAGAAAATTAGAAGAAGAGGCTAAGATCCAAGCAGAAATAACCGACACACATTTGGCCATATCAGCAACTTCAATATGCAGAGTTGTGATCACTATTTTTTGCTGTTTAGTTAGTGACAATCACCCTGGTGAGGAAAACAATAAACTCTTTCATATCATGGGTTGTGACTAAATGAGCTTTGCTTAGCATGTTGGAATATATGTGAACCTAAAATATCCAATCTTGCTCCCTCTCCCCTCTATTTTTTTTTTAATTTTTGCCAATACAGGTACAGCAGTTAGAATTTTTTTTAAATGCTTTTGGTGCATCAAAGTGGTGATGCAATTTGAATATCACTGTATACCCTAGAATTGAATAATCATATGCAGCTCATCACATTACAAACAATAGAAGGATACTGTCTCAAAATATATACGAAAAAGAATTGAGTTTTGTAAAGAAAATCAAATGAAACCCCCAAAAGCTAACTCTCTATTATTATTTATTTATTATGTTTTCATTTAAGTTTAAAAGTAAGTAATACTGTATCATGAACAGTGATAAATTCACATCAGATATCTGACAGCTGTTCATGACAAGTATGATGATTGTCTGAAAAACTGTTTTGTTTTTTCACAAATGTTTTAAGCTTCATCATTTTGTAATTTTTGTGTGTCCTCTTTCAATACTAAATGTATTTTTTTTTAATTCTGCCATTATTTTAAATCTAGTCACATACATTCACATGGATAGATCTTTTTCATCCTTGAATGTTGGGGCAATACTATTATTATAGGTTGTTTGAACATGATGCATCACATCCTTGTTGAGTGTACTGCATGAGGTAGATCACAAGTGGAAACTCCAGAGAACTAGCATAAAGGACATAATTAATGATTACTAGCTAGTTACTTTTTTCCACTCAAGTTTTTATGAGAGTACAACGTCTACAGTAGATTTCTGGGGCCCCAGAACTTAGCTTCAGCAGTAGTAGTGAGGAAGTGGCTCACCTAGGAACGTAGTATTTGTAGGCATGGTAGTATTGTTATGACAGGTGTGTACAGGGTTTATTACAACCTGATAAAGCATGGTCAAGTCTTAATTCTCATGCTTGTGAATTATATTAAAATATTGACAAGGCTTCAAGTGAATACTGGGGAACAGCTACAATGAGGTGGTGAATACTACAAGTATAAATCAGGGTAATACCTCCTAGTTTATATTTTTATTTATGTGAATTGTTGTGGCAGAACCCATGGATTATACTGTACAGTAATTCTAAATAGAAATTGAGAATTTTTGACCAAGTAAAACAATCCACCTTTATTTCATTCCTTAGTTTCAGTAGAGTTACGCTTGTATCAGTTTATGGGAATCTCCTTTGATACTACAGTAATGTTACTGATTGAATCTGTAGCTCAAATGAGGTGTTTAAATACTAGTATAAATGAGACTTGGCCAGGAACAACATCTTTTGGTGTTCACCTCTTTTTGTAATACAGTGGGGTATGCTATAACGAATCTAATTGGTTCTAGAACCTTGTTCGTTATAGGATTAATCCGTTTCAGGCCCCCAAATACAACCACTTAACACTGAAAAATATAATATAAAATTGTAAAAATTGTAAAAAAAGTGCATAAATATGCATCTAAACCCTTGAAATAAAGAATATCATTAATATTTGTAATAAAAAACAATAAATTAGTAAAAAAAAAAAAAAATTTTTTTTTTTAAATAATGTTCCTTGTAGGAGTTTCGTTCGTTATAGCATTCTCCATTTTATAGGTAAAACCGTTCGTTATAGGAATATTCGTAGTAGGATCCGTTCGTTATAGCATACCCCACTGTACATGATTTGATATTGCTGGTAGGTACTAAGGGCTCTGTATGTCACTACTGTATTTCTACTCCGGCAATTTTTCTGCTGAACTTTCAAATATTTTTGTAAATCTTGTTAATAGAAGTGATCTCTTTAAACAGCGAGTTGATAAGTGATGCCCAGAATGAGGTATCCTGCAACTTTTGATCAGTCATATTCCATTTTGAGTTAAAAAACAAAAACAGTATAATTCTACTAAACAATAAGATTTGAGAATGTTTGTTATCAGAAGTGCTGTACACCTTACACTGGTGTAAGATTGTGCTATTTTTTGTGATATATAGTGTGATGCATCACTGTTAAAGGGTACTGTACTGTAATGGGAATTTTATACTTGAAACTGTGAAATAATTTGAATATGAATCTCAGTTACTATATCATGTGGACATTGCTTTGGTTATGGTGATCTTCTCTCTGTCAACTGAAATCTTGTTCATATTATTGAGCCAAGTTGCTCATATAGGTAACACAGGAGGTGGTATGAGATGGCATAACATACATAAAATAGCTGTCCAAATAATGGAAGCATTATTTACATTAAGGAAATTTTTAAGTTCATTCACAAGTGTAAGAATTGTAATGAGAAAAAAAAAGAATGAGAAGGATGAAGTACTGTCAACTATACCAAAATACTTGATTACTAAAGGTTTACTCATCAGCAGTATTTCAAAGAGCTTTATTGTTGGCATATTCTTTGAATGACAAGCTATTTACAAAGCCAATCTGTAAAAAGGTGGAGTAAGTGATTGTGATGTTGCTTAAAACAATGCAATATGTTATGTATCATAATTGTATTATATTAATACATGATTAAACAAAAGAGAGTGTTCATTTTCTTCATCTTTCCAGGCGCTTGATTTGTCAGTACTTAACCAAATACAAAGGGGTCTTCATTATACAATGAGACTAATTATGGAACATTTTATTATGAGGAATTTTTCAACATAAGAAGTAATGTAATTAGGGGTATATTTTACTGCCCCTATTCGTTATTCACAAAGCCTACTCCGCTTAATCGCAAATGAAAAATTATTATGCCCTCCAGTAATATTTGAAACTATCTTGCAAGGATTCCAGCAATGCAAGTTATATTATGCTAAGTTCAGTCTGACATTTTGTAAGATAAAAACTTTAAGCCTAAAACTACCTTCGCCCTGGCTGGGAGAGGGCGAGGTGAGGTGTTGAGTTCCGGGCTGAGGTTACCAAATGCGTAGAGAGATAATTATATACTGTAGAACCTTGATAAATTGGACTAATTGGAGCAGACCCCAGTCCGAAAAATGCTTAAGTCCGAGAAAAGCGAATACAGGTAGGTGTGTGTGTGTGTGTGTGTGTGGGGGGGGGAACACTGCTTGACTGTTTAAAGAAAATCAGTTATGTTATCACTGCGCTTCAACAACTAAGGTCTTTAAGTGTATAACAAGGTTACTAAAAGAATATTACATCAACAATAAAAAAAATATAAAATGGAACTAGCTGGGTTGAAAATCAGACATGTAAGTCTGGTTGTCACCGAGATGATTGTTATTGACTGTAAAGTGTCTTGTGAATAAAGAGAATACTCTACAGTACTATAAAGATAAAAATAAGTGGAGGAGTTTATTGTATGTAGAAGACGAATGTTTATCTGTGACCAGCTAGCAGAGGGGTGAGTGGGTAGCATGGGTGGCCCCCTCTCTCCCACAAGATTCCTATAACACTTCTTTTTGCAATTCCACCACAATTCTCATAATTTAGGATCATTTGGTGCCAGATTGATAAAATATTATCCTAAAAGAATCCCACACTGAACAACACGAGTCATTGTTTAAAAAGAGCAAACAGCTGATTGGCTTACTGCAAAGTCTGTCTTTAAAACTTGGTAAATAAGTACAGTACAGTTGTGTATTTATCATCGCTTAGTAAATACTGCTGCAGTGTATTTATCACCACTTCATAAATACTATTGTAGTGTATTTATCATCACTTAATAAGTAATATTGTAGTGTAAATTATTATGTATCTGCATATACCCTGGTTTATTCATAAATTATTTGTCTAAGTACAAGTAGTCAAACTGAGTTATCATACAACACTGAAAGGTAGAAAATAAAGTTTTTAAGAAGGTATTTTCATATCAAATACTATACAGTGTGTTATAGTGACCCCTGTTGTAAGCTGATCTACTGAAAGCTAACACAAATGCATCTGAATAAACAACTGTGTGATACAGCTTATCCATTTATCTTCAAGTCACTGTCTTTGGGAGAATGTCTGGGGGTGCTGCTGTCCCTGAGAAAGCCCTGTCCATGGTATATCCCCTGGGGGCGCCAGTGCCCCTGGCAGGGCCCCTGGGGGTACGGCCGTTCCTGGGAGAGCCCCTGTGGGTGCCAACACCCCTGGGGGAGCCAGTGCCCTTGGGGTCACCGCTGTCCCTGGGAGGCTCCCTGGAAGTGCTGCTGTCCCCTGTCCCTGGTAGAGCCCCTGGCAGGGCCCCTGGTGGTGACCCCATCCCTGGTAGAGCCACTGGGGGTGCCAGCACTCCTGCCAAGGCCCCTAGGAGGGCCCCCTTTGGTGACACCGTCCCTGGAAGAGCCCCTGATGGCGCCGCTGTCCCCGGAAGCGCCCCTAGAGGTGCTGCCATCCCTAGGAGGGCCCCTGGGAGTGCAGCTGTCCCTGAGAGAGCCCTTGGGGGTGCCATCGCCACAAGCAGGACCTCTGGGGGCACCAGCACCCCTGGGAGGGCCATTGGGGGGCGCTGCCGTCCCTCGGATGGTCCCTAGCAGCTCCACCGCCCTTGGTATGGCCCCTTGAAGCGCCCCAATCTCTGGGAGGGACCTTGGGGATGCCCCTGTCCTTAAGAGGGCCCCTGTTAGCGCTGCTGTCCCTGGTAGGGCCCCTGGGGGCGTCGCCGTTCTTGGGAGGTGCCCATGGGAGCACCGCTGCCTCTGGGAGAGCCAGTGACCCTGGCAGGGTCTCCAGGGGAGCCAGTGCCCCTGGGAGGGCCCCTGGTGGTGCCACTGCCCCTGAGATGGCCCCTGGGTGCACCACCGCCTCTGGCAAGTCCCCTTGGAGCACCGCCGTCCCTGGAAGGGCCCCTGGGAGCGCTGCTGTCCCTTGGAGTGCTAGCACCCCTGGCAGGGGCCCTCGGCTCACCGCTGTCCTTGGGAGGGACTCTGGGGGTGCTGCCTTCCCTGGGAGAACCCCTGAGGGCGCCACCGCCCCTGGCAGGGCCCCTGGGGACGTTGCCGTCCCTGGGAGTGCAGCCGTTCCTGGGAAAGCCCCTGGGGAAGGCCAAGCCAGAAGGAGATAAAGCAACTAGTTTTGCCTACTAACTTGAAGGGGGAAGTAATGAAACTTTTGCATGATGACATGGGTCATCAGGGTATCGAATGCACCACTAGATTGATTATGCAGAGGTACTACTGGCCACGAATGGATTATGACATCTTTGAAAATTGTAGGGACTGCCACTGGTGCATTGTAGCAAAAGCAGTTATCCCAGAGGTACACATGCAGATGAAGATTCTTACAGTCAGTAGACCCTTTGACATTCTAGCAGAGAAAATGTGCTGGTGGTGACAGATGTGTTCTCTAAGAACACC